ATACACACACACACACACACACACACACACACACACACACACACACACACACACACGCACGAGCTTCCAAACAAGGCTTTTTACTGACCACTCTAATAGATAAATGGACAACCAAGGATCACCAGACATCTAAGGAATGGCCTCTTACATGAAAGACTTGTTTGGAAGAGGTTTAAAGAGGTGAAAATAGCTGCCTCTGAAGAATGGGAAAATAAGATTGAGATAGAGATGTCATTTTTCATAACAAATCTTATAGAACATTTTTCTCTTTAAATTTTTAGACTGCATGACATTATTAAAAATTAACTAAATTAGTAATTAAAGGAAAAAATTAAGTATAATAAAATGTAAATATGCTTTGACTATTAAAAAAATCTAACCATATTTCAAACACAAAAACATAATATCTGAAACAAGTTATTTGTGATATATCCCACAACCAATCAAGAAACCTCTATGTTGTGCTGCTATAATTGATACCGCTCAAATAAACCTAAAATGCTGCATGAGCTCATAGGAATAAGATGTTTGTATCTTACAATTATAGATCTGATCTTCAAACTGTCTAGCAAACTTACATACAAAGGTGTGGCGACAAAAGCCCTCACAACACAGTGATGATTCAAATTGCCACTCCACTTACAATCTCTTGGCTGGCACTGAACGTTATATTGGTGCCAGCATGACAGCAATAGCGAAGCTAATGGATGACTAAGTGAGAACCAAAATGGTCCATTTAAAGTATGGCTTATGTGAACAGTAAAATGACAACATAAATATTATGATTTACAAAGTACATGACCTCTAATTCATCTGCATTATAAACTACAAAATAGTCAACTTTCACAGGAAGGGGAGGGTATAAAGTTTAGATTAAATGTTTTTAAAAGGATAGAAAATGGTTTATAAAATTTACTAAAATAGATTTAAAAGACATGGTAAGATGACAATTATATGAGAAAAATTCACTGAATTTCCCCAAAAGGACACTAAACACTTAAAAACCTAAATGTAAATTTTGTTAATCATAAAATAAAAAAGGTCAGTGTTAAAATAACAAAATGTCAATATCTTTTAGAAATGCGCACTGAAGAATGATGCCTGGTGTCTTTAAAATGCCTCAGAAAAACAAGGAAGAAGGACTAGATGAAGCACATGTGGCAAAGTCTTAATTATTCAAGTAATGTGGCAAAATTTAAATAACTGTTGAAGTATGAGGTTCATTATACTATTCTATTTTAGTGTATGCTTCAAAATAATTTTTAAAATGCTCACATCCACATCTGGTCTTTTTAGCAAATCTTCCACTTTAGCAACATCTCCATTGGCAGCAGCCTTAACTAATTCTTCATTGAGGTCACCAGATTCTTGGGTTTCAAATAATTTCTTCAAGAGTTGGGAGAGTCTTTCTGTAAAGCATCAAATAAAGCTGCTAATATAGGAGGATCTCAAACCTTAACTACTAACAGACAAGCATTACTCGTATGCCTATAATACACACTTTTCCTTTACTATTTCTATCATTAACATTAGTTTTGTACTATGCTACAGATATTACCCATTCAAATTATAATTACTACTACATAAAGCTGCATTAAATTTGAGCCCCTAAGTATTCTGTTTTCTCCAATTCATGTATTTCAAATTAAAATTTCAGAAAACTAAAGAGTTACATACAAATAATAGTTCAAGATTTGGAAGTCATACCAAAGATATTAAAAATGAACACATCACAGTGGGTTTTATCATAATAATACAAATTTTCTTGCAGGTCTTAAGCATACCACACTGACTCTCTGAGTTTAATGTTCAGACCTCAGAATAAATCAACAAATCAATGATTATGATTCAAAAGCAATGTAATCTCTATAATATCAGGAGAAATCTTTTAGGGACAAACCAATTTTCAGTTGAAAATGGACATCTAAGTGATAACGACATACTTTAAAGGTACCAATTGATTTTGACTAAAACAAGAAAGGACCAGGGATTTACATAGAACCTTTCACAAGATAATCTTTCTAAATAGCCTTCATCAGTAAGGAACCTACCCAGTTCTGCTCCTTTCATGCTTGGATCTTCTTATTGGAAAGCAAAGAAATCACAAAGTGGAGCAGAGGACAAACACCAAGTCTACATGACTTGAGAGAAGGATATTAACTATCCTTCACTCTTTTAATTTGTATATAGTCAACCTTTTGTGATGTTATCTGACCTCAAGGTAAAAAATAAACACCACCAGATTTAAACTTTAAGCACACTACCAAATTACAACAGGAAAGAAGACATATAAGCACAGAAAGAAGAAAACAGTGCAAAATAAATTTGGAGGTCACTCAATGTTTTCCTTTACTTTCTTACTACTTAAAGTTATGATTCTATCTTTTTTTCTGGATCATAATACACACGGTAACTTATAATTTATTGTGGAATGAACTGAATCTGTGTACATAAAGCTGGAGCATAAAAAGAAAAGACTTTGGGCATGAGTCTACCCAAGTATCTGGCATATTCACATCTCAACATGGTTTTCTACTCATTGCGGCTTGTACAACAACGTTTATGGAATAGAAACAGAAAAAATACAGCTGATATGTAAAAATATCCAGAAAGAAAGCCATCTGCAAGCAATAATGTTGATAATGAAAAGAAAATAAAACAGTCTAAAAAAGTGATGGTTCTTTGGCAGAAAACAAAAGTTCTGACTAAAGAGAATGTTGAATTTCAGGTATCTTAGATTTGATGTGGAGAAGCCCTTGAGATATCCAAGAAAAAGCACATATTTATGGAACTTTTCCAGCACATACCTCAGCCAGAACAAAGGTTGTTCATTGTATGAAAAAAGGAAAAAAACAAAACAAAAAACGTTTAGTAAAAGTCTAAAAGATAACTAACATTCAAGCAAAGTTATATGATCTGGGAGAAAACCAAGAACACATACAACTTTGTCTGTATATGAGGACTGGGAATTAGCAAAGCTTCTAATGTGAAACACATTACTTTCAAAGAAGCATAAAATACAACATACCACCAGATGCGTTGCTAATGGCTGATCCAGCAGATGCCACCTTGGAAACTGCTGCTGGATTGTATGTCCAAGATGTGCCACAAACTTCCACCTTTAAGTCACTGTCTGAATAAATCTGTTGTACACGGCCAACTTTACCTAAAGTCTTTAAAAAAAATTATATTCATGCTTCCAAGTCTAAAGTATATGCCATAAAACTTTTTACCAGTTTTTACATGTTTAAAGGATTCATTTTACTTCATTCATTCCTAAAGAAAATACTTTAAAGGATAATCATATTCAAATGGATTATTTATTCGTTACAAACTTTAAAGAGTACCTTTAAAAAGTATATTTTTTATTAGTTTCAGGTGTATAAAACAATGTAAAAGTCAGACATTTACACCCCTCACAAAGTGATAACCCTCCTCCCCCAATCTATTACCCCTCTGACATCGTATTAAGAAATATTTTTTTTTGAAGATTTTATTGGGGAATTGGGGAAGGGGAACAGTGTTGGGGAACTGGGGAAGGGGAAGAGCCAAGTTGTTATCCTTCAATCTTAGTTGTGGAGCTCAGCTCCAAGACCAGTTGCCATCTGGCCACCGATGGCAGCTTGCAGCCGCTCAACTCAAGATGCCATGTTCAATTTTAGCTGCGAATGGGCGTAGCCCACCATCCCATGCAGGAATCAAACAGGCAACCTTGTTGTTAGGAGCATGTGCTCTCACCAGCAGAGTCATCTGGCAGCACAGCGGCAGCTCAGCTCACTGGCCCTTGTGGGAATCGAACCAGCGACCCTGTTGCTCAGAGCTCGCACTCTTAACCAACTGAGCCACTCGGCCAGCCCAAGAAATATTTTAATAAATAAAACTATCATACTTCCACAAGAATGTAAGAAAATAAATCATGAGTCTGTCTTAGTCATAAAAATTCACAAAATTTTTAATTTTTTGATATTTAATCTTTCTTTTTTAACCCCATAAGATACACCTTGAGAACTTATAACTCAAGTAGTAAAAAATCCATCATCTAGCCTAAAACTATAAAATCTGATTTCTAAACATACATATATTTAAACCAAAAAGGGCTCAAAGCCTTTATGGAATCATGCCTGATTCAAAAGCATAAGTGTAGAAATAACACGCTTATTAAATATGAAATAAAAAGGGTAATCAGGTACATAATAATCAGCAACATAAGCTCTTACCATGTGGTGAATGCTGTTCAAAGAGTTTTATGTGTATTGACTCACCTAATACTATAACCCCGAAAGTTAAGAGCTATTATTAGCCCCATTTAAAACTCAATTCCAAAACTCATTCTTTTAAGCACAACAGAATAGTAAGTAACACTAGAAAATTGGTGAAGAATAGTGATAATATCTGATTATTTCCTAACAGAGAGAAAAAATTACCCTTGACTTGTTTTCTCTCTTGACCTCGCCACAGCATCTGACCCCAACTTCTTGAAACTATTCCCTTGGTTTCAGGATGACAGTCTAATCTTTCTGCCTGTACCACCCCTTTCTCCACTAACTCCTTTTCCTTCTTCAAATCCCTAAATCTGCTCATTCTCCTCAAATTTTACTCCTTCATTTCTTACTTTTCTTTCTTGAAAATTAATCTACTTTGACAACTACCATCTTATTTCCAAAGACTCCAAAATATACTTCTCTAATCATGTTTATCCCTCTCCTTGCCCCCCAACACACACCAATTTTAATTTCACATTAAACATTTTCACTTGGAATTTTCCAGCATCATCTTAAGCTCTATGAGGCTGCATTCTTCGTTTTTTCCTCCTTAACTGTTCATATGGAAAATCTCAAACACATAAAAGTAGACAATAGTATATAAAATCCTCATGTACCCATCAACCAGTTTTAACAATTATTAGCTCATGGCCAATCGTTTTTCCCTACCCATTTTTCCCTCCTTTATTATTTTATCATGTAATCTTTTTTAAAAACATATCTACAATACTATTATCAACCAGCCCAAAATTATAGATAACTCTGTAATAGCATAAACTACCAGCCAGTGTTCAAATTCCCAATTGCCTCATAAATGATAATTTTCTTTTAGTTTAAATCTAGTCCCAAATAAAGTCTATACATATTTTTTTTCTCTGCAAATTATTTGTTGACGAAACAGGGTTATTTATCCTATAAAGTTTCTTACAATCTGAATTTTGCTAATTAGTATAGTTTAATAGGTTCATCTAACTTTGTATTTGGTAAGAAACCCTTCAACTTGACTGCTACATCTTTTTAAATGATCTAGAAATCTTTGATAGTTTCCTTGCTGTCTGGTATGAGGCTCATCTTATACACTTCCTGTCAGAGAGCTAGAATTAGCCATTTCTCCAAAGAGACCTAGTTCTTTACAGAGGGAAAGGCTATTTCAAGACCATAATCTGGGCACTAAGGTTGGTTATTATTACTAGAATGGTCACTGTTTTCTACGTCTTTTCATGGACAGAGCTACAGAACAGAATTTTGGGGTTTTTTTTAATTTTGTTTTAAAAGATAAAATAAATCATGAGTTCAAACACTCTTCCAATTCAAGACTATAGGGTTTTTACATAACCTCTTCTATATTAGATCTGTATCTCCTTTTCTCATTCTGATCATTCTGGTTCTCAAGGGTCCCTGGGGATAACAGAATTAGAATTATCATATCACTACTCATTTTTTTTGTCATGTTACATCAACAACAATCTCAAAGTAAGACTATTAACATTATCACAATTAGATTTCTGAAAATTGTTAAATATTTCTTTTGCCATGCAGTTCTGCAGTATATATTCCTCCTATAAAGATATAAAGACAAATTACTGTGTTTAAAAATCACTTGGGGGCTGGCCGAGTCGCTCAGTTGGTTAAGAGCTCGCTCAAGAATGCGAGCTCTGAGCAACAGCGGTTCAAGTCCCACCCGAGCTGAGCTGCTGCTGAGCTGCCAACAGGTGGCAAGATGGCTCAGCAAAAAAAAAAAAAAAAAAAAATCACTTGGAATTTCCTCTCTCTATGGTTTTGCCAACAGGAAAGACATTCATGTTCATTTGTTTCAATTTATTTTCTACTTTCAGTAGTTTCCTTTCTGAATTTAACTTTTGTTTTATAAATGTATAAAATATATATATAGTTTCAAATCAAATTTATAAAACAAGACATATTCAAAGACATCTCCCTTTTACTTTTGTCTTCTATATCATATTCATTTTTTATATATACTTTTTTAACTTTGATTAATACTTCCATTTTCTTTTTAAAATAAAATTTATATATTAAAACTTTATATTAAACTATATTGTCCTAGTAATATTTACAATATCTATATATATAAACATATATACAGAGGGGTGCCAAAAAAATGTATACACATTTTAAGAAAGGAACAAACTATATTAAAATTACACTGATGGTAACCATTTTGAGCACCTCTTGTAATTGCAGAAGTCAAATGTGACTTGTATTCATCTTATGTTATCGTCATATATTGAGACAATTTTAATATTGGGTTGTCGTAAAAGTCATGACATATTTTTTCTCTGTTTTTTGTTGCAAAAATACGTCATGACTTTTCCAACAACCCAATAGTTTGTTCTTTTCTTAAAGTGTGTATACATTTTATTGGTACCCTGTGTGTGCATATACACACATGCAAACCTTTATTCCCTCTTTTAAAAATATTTATGTATTGTCTATTGGTTCCCTCGTGTGTACAATATTAAAATTAGTCATTCAGATGTTTTTCCCCTTGCCCTCTTTCTCCCCTAACATTCTGATTTTAAATAATAGTATTTAGTCCCAATTAATGCCTTACCCATTCATTACATTCTTCACTAACGATTCTATCAAAAAATACTAACTGTACCCCTTTTTGGGTAAAGTTAGCTTACAGTTAAATTAGCTTCTCTAGCTAACTTAACAGGAATAAATTAGAAAATAAAAGGCATAAGTATGCCTAGCTGCCAATAAAGAGTACAATTCTCAAGGATTATGCTAATTTCATTTCTAAAATTAAAGTATTTTTTAAAACTTCATAAGTATAGTATAATTCCTAGTCCAAAACTAATTTGTGTAAACTTACTGGAAGCATAGCTTCAGCCCACTCTCCATGTCCTCTTTGTAGAAGTTTGATTCTTTCCAGATCATAACAAACTTGTACTAGATCACCCACTTGAAACTGTGAGGTGCCTCCTTCTGCACCTTGAGCAGCATCCCCGCTTCGAACAATGTTTGCTTTAGTGAGAACAGCAGGATTGAAGGTCCACCTGAAGATCAAAGCCAAAACTCAAAATAAGTAAGTTTACCTAATTTTAATACAACATTTTTTGTTAAGCATTACAAGGAAAAATGTCTTATAACACATCAAAAGAGTAAAACAATCCTTGGCAATTACATCCTGAATGATTTGTATTTTTTTATAATTTTATAATACAAAATTGGGAAAAGTCATTGTAATCTCACTACCCTAATAGATTTATTTACTCTGTCTAGATTTATTCTTTTCTACATATTTTTTAAATTGTTATAAAATATATACTTTCCATTAAAAATTAAAACATTTCAGAAACATGTAAAATGTGTGAACCTTGAGAAGGAATATATCTGCCAAGAACAATTCTTAGTGGTTAGCTGGGCCCAAATTCATAACGAGAGTCTAGGTGACATTGCTAGAGGCTTCTTATGCACTCTGCATTTCAAGAAAAAGCCACAGACTAAGCTGCCAGTCTCCTGCATTGTATTCCTGCCTTCTGAGTCAACCCTTATTAAGCAGTTCCTAGTATCATCTTTCGACCAATAGATTGAGACCTGCCCCATCCAATCAGAGCTGTGCAACTATATCCTCATTTGCATCTATACCAACCAATCAGAGGTGCTTCACAATGACCTATCAGCATACACGATTCTAACCAATCAGTACCATGCCATTTGGACCAATCAGAACTGTGCAATTCGGATCCACCGTTTGAATAAAAATGGATGAAATCAAGAACCAGGGTGGAACTTTCTCTACAAAAGGCATCCTGCCCTTTGTCTGTATAGAACCCACTCTTGGTTTCCACCAGAGGCTGCATTTCCATAGTTTTCAAACTGTTCACCTGAATAAAAGTTTTCTCCTCTTTCCGTACTTCAGATTGGGAATTTTTGTTGATAAGTGCAAGTTCCATTTTATACAAACACACCAGATCACCATTCCCCATCCCACTAGAAACCACTGTTAATATTCCATTGTGTATCCTTGCAGATTTTCTATCAGTATTCTGAGTGACCTTTATAATGTAAAGAGTTGTTTTCTTTTCCATAAATGGGATCATTATATCATTCTGTGGCTTCTTTTTTTCTCAGAGAATGCATCTTGGTATATTACTGTTCAATGTTACAAACATGTATCTACTTATTTCAATTTAATGGCCACAGAGTACTCTGTAACATGGATATACACTAATGTACTTAACCTTTCTCCTGTTGACTATCATTTACAGTATTTCCAAATTTTCACCATTACAAACAATACTATAAAGAACATCCCTATATGTACGTTTCCATGTGTACATGTGCACATGGAGTCAGTATTTCATTAGATTCTTAGAAGCACTAACTAATCCAAGTATGTATTTGTTTACAATTCTGATAAACAAACTGCTCTACAAAGAGCACCCATTTCCCCATACCACTGCCAATCTCGTGGGAAAAAAAAGTATTTAGTTTTAATTTGTCATGCATGGGTATTTTACATGATTGTAATCACTGTGGCAAAACAAATTTGGATTTTCTTCCCTATACATAAGCATTTTTATGCTGCTACCATTTTATTGACTACTTAATATTCCATCAAATAGCTGTACCACAGTGTATAACACATTTATTTCCTCTAGTCCCAAATGGCACTTCAAGGAAAAAAAGTTCCCTAGTCAAATAGCTTTTACAATATAGCCATTAGCATATAAAGACTGAGGCTGGGCCGGCTGAGTGGCGCAATGGTTAAGAACTGGCTTGGGATGCCAGAGGGCCCCGGTTCTGATCCCACATATGAGGGCCAGTGACACTGCCCTCCACAGCTAAGGTGCTGAACAACAGCTCAACCTGGAGCTGGGCTGCCGTGAATCGTCGTCTCGACGTAGGCTGCAGCCCCTGTGGCAGTGGGTTNAAAATAAATCATGAGTCTGTCTTAGTCATAAAAATTCACAAAATTTTTAATTTTTTGATATTTAATCTTTCTTTTTTAACCCCATAAGATACACCTTGAGAACTTATAACTCAAGTAGTAAAAAATCCATCATCTAGCCTAAAACTATAAAATCTGATTTCTAAACATACATATATTTAAACCAAAAAGGGCTCAAAGCCTTTATGGAATCATGCCTGATTCAAAAGCATAAGTGTAGAAATAACACGCTTATTAAATATGAAATAAAAAGGGCAATCAGGTACATAATAATCAGCAACATAAGCTCTTACCATGTGGTGAATGCTGTTCAAAGAGTTTTATGTGTATTGACTCACCTAATACTATAACCCCGAAAGTTAAGAGCTATTATTAGCCCCATTTAAAACTCAATTCCAAAACTCATTCTTTTAAGCACAACAGAATAGTAAGTAACACTAGAAAATTGGTGAAGAATAGTGATAATATCTGATTATTTCCTAACAGAGAGAAAAAATTACCCTTGACTTGTTTTCTCTCTTGACCTCGCCACAGCATCTGACCCCAACTTCTTGAAACTATTCCCTTGGTTTCAGGATGACAGTCTAATCTTTCTGCCTGTACCACCCCTTTCTCCACTAACTCCTTTTCCTTCTTCAAATCCCTAAATCTGCTCATTCTCCTCAAATTTTACTCCTTCATTTCTTACTTTTCTTTCTTGAAAATTAATCTACTTTGACAACTACCATCTTATTTCCAAAGACTCCAAAATATACTTCTCTAATCATGTTTATCCCTCTCCTTGCCCCCCAACACACACCAATTTTAATTTCACATTAAACATTTTCACTTGGAATTTTCCAGCATCACCTTAAGCTCTATGAGGCTGCATTCTTCGTTTTTTCCTCCTTAACTGTTCATATGGAAAATCTCAAACACATAAAAGTAGACAATAGTATATAAAATCCTCATGTACCCATCAACCAGTTTTAACAATTATTAGCTCATGGCCAATCGTTTTTCCCTACCCATTTTTCCCTCCTTTATTATTTTATCATGTAATCTTTTTTAAAAACATATCTACAATACTATTATCAACCAGCCCAAAATTATAGATAACTCTGTAATAGCATAAACTACCAGCCAGTGTTCAAATTCCCAATTGCCTCATAAATGATAATTTTCTTTTAGTTTAAATCTAGTCCCAAATAAAGTCTATACATATTTTTTTTCTCTGCAAATTATTTGTTGACGAAACAGGGTTATTTATCCTATAAAGTTTCTTACAATCTGAATTTTGCTAATTAGTATAGTTTAATAGGTTCATCTAACTTTGTATTTGGTAAGAAACCCTTCAACTTGACTGCTACATCTTTTTAAATGATCTAGAAATCTTTGATAGTTTCCTTGCTGTCTGGTATGAGGCTCATCTTATACACTTCCTGTCAGAGAGCTAGAATTAGCCATTTCTCCAAAGAGACCTAGTTCTTTACAGAGGGAAAGGCTATTTCAAGACCATAATCTGGGCACTAAGGTTGGTTATTATTACTAGAATGGTCACTGTTTTCTACGTCTTTTCATGGACAGAGCTACAGAACAGAATTTTGGGGTTTTTTT